CCGCGTCCGGATATAGAGGGACCGCCCCGCGTCCGGATAGAGGACCGCCCTGCGTCAGGATAGAGGACCGCCCTGCGTTCCGGATAGAGGAACCGCCCTGTTTCCGGAGAGAACCGCCCCAGGTCCGGTTAGAGGGCTGCATCTGGATGGAGGACGGCCCTGCGTCCGGATAGAGGACGGCCCTGCGTCCGGATGGAGGACGCCCTGCGTCCGGATAGAGGACGGCCCTGCGTCCGGATAGAGGACGGCCCTGCGTCCGGATAGAGGACGGCCCTGCGTCCGGATAGAGGACGGCCCTGCGTCCGGATAGAGGACGGCCCTGCGTCCGGATAGAGGACGGCCCTGCGTCCGGATAGAGGACGGCCCTGCGTCCGGATAGAGGACCGCCCTGCGTCCGGATAGAGGGACGGCCCTGCGTCCGGATAGAGGACGGCCCTGCGTCCGGATAGAGGACCGCCCTGCGTCCGGATAGAGGACCGCCCTGCGTCCGGATAGAGGACCGCCCTGCGTCCGGATAGAGGACCGCCCTGTTTCCAGAGAACCGCCCCAGGTCCGGTTAGAGGGCTGCATCTGGATGGAGGACGGCCCTGCGTCCGGATGGAGGACGGCCCTGCGTCCGGATGGAGGACTGCCCTGCGTCCGGATAGAGGACGGCCCTGCGTCCGGATGGAGGACGGCCCTGCGTCCGGATGGAGGACGCCCTGCGTCCGGATAGAGGACGGCCTGCGTCCGGATAGAGGACCGCCCTGCGTCCGGATAGAGGACCGCCCTGCGTCCGGATAGAGGACCCCTGTACTGATGGGTATTCAACGTGGGAACAATCAGGAGAAGAATACATCAGCCCCCAAATAGAGACGGCAGAGAGAACATTTGGTCAGAGGACTTTGCTCCATGTACCTGTGGGACCGCACACCTACGTCCGAGATAGATATCTCACCCAGACTCCGGATAAGGGACCCCCTGTTTCCAGAGTCACAGCCCCAGATCCAGTTAGAGGAGATGATGCATCTGGAGGAGGACGGCCCTGCTTCAGGATGGAGGACGCTCCACTCCAATGGAGGACCCCTGCGGATTATGCCCTGGACAGAGAGAGGCTCTGCGTCATGTGGACACCCTGCCTACGGATGGAGGACCAGAACTCTCCGGATACAGGACCGCCCTGCGTCCAGATAGAGGACTACGCCCTGCGTCCGGATAGAGGACCAGTACTGATGGGTATTCAACGTGGGAACAAGCAGGAGAAGAATACATCAGCCCCCAAAGTAGAGACCGCAGAGAGAACAGGTCAGAACTTTGCTCCATGTACCTACGGGGACTTCACACCTACCTGAGAAGGGGACCACAGACTCCACGGGGACCTCCCCTGCGGTCACAGCTGGAAGGGGATCCACTACCGGGGACCGGAGAGGGAAGGGGAGGGATTAGCTCTACGGGACCGGAGCAGGGAAGAGGGAGACTCTTACTCCAATGGAGCAGGGATTATGGGGAGACTACGGGGACCGGAGCAGGGAAGGGGAGACTACGGGGACCGGAGCAGGGAAGGGGAGACTACGGGGACCGGAGCAGGGAAGGGGAGACTACGGGGACCGGAGCTGAGAAGGGGAGACTACGGGGACCGGAGCAGGGAAGGGGAGACTACGGGGACCGGAGCTGAGAAGGGGAGACTACGGGGACCGGAGCAGGGAAGGGGAGACTACGGGGACCGGAGCAGGGAAGGGGAGACTACGGGGACCGGAGCAGGGAAGGGGAGACTACGGGGACCGGAGCAGGGAAGGGGAGACTACGGGGACCGGAGCAGGAAGGGGAGACTACGGGGACCGGAGCTGAGAAGGGGAGACTACGGGGACCGGAGCAGGGAAGGGGAGACTACGGGGACCGGAGCTGAGAAGGGGACTACGGGGACCGGGCTCAAGGGGGCAGACTACGGGGACCGGAGCTCAGGGAGGGGAGACTACGGGGACCGGAGCAGCAGGGGGAGACTACGGGGACCGGAGCAGGAAGGGGAGACTACGGGGACCGGGCTCAAGCAGGGCAGACTACGGGGACCGGAGCTCAAGCAGGGAGACTACGGGGACCGGAGCTCAAGCAGGGGAGACTACGGGGACCGGGCTCAAGCAGGGCAGACTACGGGGACCGGGCTCAAGCAGGGCAGACTACGGGGACCGGGCTCAAGCAGGGCAGACTACGGGGACCGGGCTCAAGCAGGGCAGACTACGGGGACCGGGCTCAAGCAGGGCAGACTACGGGGACCGGGCTCAAGCAGGGCAGACTACGGGGACCGGGCTCAAGCAGGGCAGACTACGGGGACCGGGCTCAAGCAGGGCAGACTACGGGGACCGGGCTCAAGCAGGGCAGACTACGGGGACCGGGCTCAAGCAGGGCAGACTACGGGGACCGGGCTCAAGCAGGGCAGACTACGGGGACCGGGCTCAAGCAGGGCAGACTACGGGGACCGGGCTCAAGCAGGGCAGACTACGGGGACCGGGCTCAAGCAGGGCAGACTACGGGGACCGGGCTCAAGCAGGGCAGACTACGGGGACCGGGCTCAAGCAGGGCAGACTACGGGGACCGGGCTCAAGCAGGGCAGACTACGGGGACCGGGCTCAAGCAGGGCAGACTACGGGGACCGGGCTCAAGCAGGGCAGACTACGGGGACCGGGCTCAAGCAGGGCAGACTACGGGGACCGGGCTCAAGCAGGGCAGACTACGGGGACCGGGCTCAAGCAGGGCAGACTACGGGGACCGGGCTCAAGCAGGGCAGACTACGGGGACCGGGCTCAAGCAGGGCAGACTACGGGGACCGGGCTCAAGCAGGGCAGACTACGGGGACCGGGCTCAAGCAGGGCAGACTACGGGGACCGGGCTCAAGCAGGGCAGACTACGGGGACCGGGCTCAAGCAGGGCAGACTACGGGGACCGGGCTCAAGCAGGGCAGACTACGGGGACCGGGCTCAAGCAGGGCAGACTACGGGGACCGGGCTCAAGCAGGGCAGACTACGGGGACCGGGCTCAAGCAGGGCAGACTACGGGGACCGGGCTCAAGCAGGGGAGACTACGGGGACCGGGCTCAAGCAGGGCAGACTACGGGGACCGGGCTCAAGCAGGGCAGACTACGGGGACCGGGCTCAAGCAGGGGAGACTACGGGGACCGGGCTCAAGCAGGGCAGACTACGGGGACCGGGCTCAAGCAGGGCAGACTACGGGGACCGGGCTCAAGCAGGGCAGACTACGGGGACCGGGCTCAAGCAGGGAGAGAGCAGCACGGGACCGGGCTCAAGGATCAGGGCAGACTACGGGGGTGGGGGGAGCAGCAGAGGAGACCACGGGGACCGGGCTCAGCAGCAGACAGAGGACACCAGTGAAGGGGCTCAGAGCAGCAGAGGACTACGGGGACCGGGCTCAGAGCAGCAGGGACACTAGGGAAGGGTCAGAGCAGCAGAGGGGGACCAGTGAAGGGTCAGAGCACAGGGGAGACCAGGGCTCAAGCAGGGGAGACAGAGGACACCAGTGAAGGGGGAGAGCAGCAGAGGGACACCAGGCTGAAGGGTCAGAGCAGCAGAGGACACCAGTGCAGGGTCAGAGCAGCAGAGGACACCAGTGCAGGGTCAGAGCAGCAGAGGACACCAGTGAAGGGTCAGAGCAGCAGAGGACACCAGTGAAGGGTCAGAGCAGCAGAGGACACCAGTGAAGGGTCAGAGCAGCAGAGGACACCAGTGAAGGGTCAGAGCAGCAGAGGACACCAGTGAAGGGTGGGTCAGAGCAGCAGAGGACACCAGTGAAGGGTCAGAGCAGCAGAGGACACCAGTGCAAGGGGGTCAGAGCAGCAGAGGACACCAGTGAAGGGTGGGTCAGAGCAGCAGAGGACACCAGTGAAGGGTCAGAGCAGCAGAGGACACCAGTGAAGGGTCAGAGCAGCAGAGGACACCAGTGAAGGGTCAGAGCAGCAGCAGAGGACACCAGTGAAGGGTCAGAGCAGCAGAGGACACCAGTGAAGGGTCAGAGCAGCAGAGGACACCAGTGAAGGGTCAGAGCAGCAGAGGAACCAGTGAAGGGTCAGAGCAGCAGAGGAAACCAGTGAAGGGTCAGAGCAGCAGAGGAAACCAGTGAAGGGTCAGAGCAGCAGAGGACACCAGTGAAGGGTCAGAGCAGCAGAGGACACCAGTGAAGGGTCAGAGCAGCAGAGGACACCAGTGAAGGGTCAGAGCAGCAGAGGACACCAGTGAAGGGTCAGAGCAGCAGAGGACACCAGTGAAGGGGGTCAGAGCAGCAGAGGACACCAGTGAAGGGTGGGTCAGAGCAGCAGAGGACACCAGTGAAGGGGTCAGAGCAGCAGAGGACACCAGTGAAGGATCAGAGCAGCAGAGGACACCAGTGAAGGATGGGTCAGAGCAGCAGAGGACACCAGTGAAGGATGGGTCAGAGCAGCAGAGGACACCAGTGCAGGGTCAGAGCAGCAGAGGACACCAGTGAAGGGTCAGAGCAGCAGAGGACACCAGTGAAGGATGGGTCAGAGTAGCAGAGGACACCAGTGCAGGGTCAGAGCAGCAGAGTACATTTCAGGAACTGACCTCTGAAGGCCTCCGCCAGTAGGAGGCGATACTGTTGCAGGAATTTGGCGGAGAGCTGGCACCCCCGGAGGTTGATAGCGGTCAGTACAGGGCAATGGTGGAGCAGTGAGGCCAGAGGTTGTGTCAGCCCATCCCCCAGCGGGTTCAAGCTGAGATCCAACTCCTCAAGTTTCTGAAGAGAAGACAAACAATTCACTGAGTAGTAGACAAGGACAACGGCCCACTTACCCCATACACCAATTAGAGACTCACCTCAAAATGCCCCCCATCTGCCGGCACCAACTTCCTGATCCCCTCCTGAGTCAGCCGGTTACAGGACAGGTTGAGATGGGTTAGGTGAGGGATTGTACTGAGCAAGGCCGATAGCTCCTCCATATCTGCGTCTCCCAGGACGTTCCCACTAAGGTGCAATTCCCGAAGGGATGACTGCAGCTTCAATGCTCGCAGCAGGGGGCTCAAATCCATCGACTTCAGGGCCAGACGGCAGAGAGACAAGCAAGTGCTGACTTCCTGCTGCTCCAGAGCTTTCAGTACCAGACTGTTCTCCTCTACAAGAGAGCACATTGGGTAACAGTGGTCCATTATGCATCCCAGAACATCCTAGAGGACTATCATGGATCCCAAAACATCTTGGAGGTCTATCATGGACCCCAAAACATCCTGGAGGACTATCATGGATCCCAAAACATCTTGGAGGACTATCATGGATCCCAGAACATCCTGGAGGACTATCATGGATCCCAGAACATCCTGGAGGACTATCATGGATCCCAGAAGATCCTGGTGGAGCAAAATGGACCCCAGAATATCCTGGAGGAACATAATGGACCGCAGAACCTCCTAGTGGACCATAATGAACCCCAAAACATCCAGGTGGACTACAATGGATCCCAGAACATCCTGGAGCACTATAATGGATCCCAGAAAATCCTGGCGAACCAAAATGAACCCCAGAATATCATGGTGGACCATAAAGGACCCCAGAGCATCCAGATGGACTATAATGGACCCCAGAACATCTTGGTGGACCAAAATGGACCCCAGAACATCCCGGTGGACCATAATGGACCCCATAACCTCATGGTGTATCATAATAGACCCCATAACCTCCTGGTGTATCATAATGGACCCCAGAAAATCCTGGTGGACCAAAATGGTAGACCCCTGATCAACTTGGTGGATAAAATGGACCCCAGAACATCCTGGCGGATCATAATGCATTCCAAAACATCCGGGTGGATCATAATGGACCCCAAAACATTCTGAAGGACTATAATGGACCCCAGAACATCCTGGTGGATCATAATGGACTGCAGAACATCCTGGGGGACCATAATGGACCCCAGGACATCCTGGGGGAGCAAAATGGACCCAGCAAATCTTGGTGGATCATAATGGACCCCAGAACATCCTCGTGGATCATAATGCATTCCAGAAAATCCGGGTGGATAATGGACCCCAGAACATCCTCGTGCATCATAATGCATTCCAGAAAATAAGGGTGGATAATGGACCCCAGAACATCCTGGTGGATCATAATGGACCCCAGGACATCCTCACAGATCAATCTATGATGATGAACACTTACTAACACCAAGACTCTGACATGACTTCTTGTAGCGATCGGTCAGTGGTGGCAGATCCCAGGAATGAACCTCGGCCAGAACCTTAAAAACACAAACCATCTATGAGGACTTCTCCTATTAATGGTCCACCTGGCAGACAAGGGAAAGTGAAGAGACTTACCTCCTCGTTGCTCTGCAGGATGTAGAGAATGAGGTCCTGGGGGTCCAGCAAAGCTCCTTCTTTCTTCAGGGTGAGTCGGGGTCGCAGACCACTGCTCTGGTAATACCGCTGAGAGGCCTGTTCAGCCAACCAGGAGATGTCCCGGGTCTCACAGTCACTGCAGGCAGAGGACCAATCATAATCAGAGTGGAGAATATTGTGCATCCATACTCCCCGCCCACATGTAATGACAACAGGAATTCTGACTTACCCGTAAATTCCATATCTTGGGGTACAGTACAGGACACAGGCTGGATATTCATAGACTCCAGCCCCAGGTTACATGCTGCTGCCTTCAGGTGACTGGACACTGCCAAAAGCTTTGCTGGGGGCCACCCACCCCAGTGTACCCTCCTAAAACCCCACCCACTCCGTGAGGCTTCAGTTTTTTAGCAAGTGGTAAGCAGGTCAGGGAGCAGAGGGGAGGGACCTGTGTCCTGTACTGAACCCCAAGATACGGAGCATACCGGTAAGTCATCATTCCTACAATCTGCATCATACTGTGCAGGACGCAGGGGTGGGGTCTTAGATATGGGGCCTCTCCAAGCAGTAAGGAGAAGAGTGGAGAGGGACCCATGTCCTGTACTGAACCCCAAAATACGGAGCATACCGGTAAGTCATCATTCCTACAATCTGCATCATACTGTGCAGGACACAGGGGTGGGTTCTTAGACCATGGGGCCTCTCCAACATATAAATTGAGAACTGGGCAACAAAAAGCCAAACCTGCAGCAACTGGCCCCATAGACAGGAGGATCAATGGACCCAGACAGACAGGAGACTCAACCAACTTTCAAGAAATGGTTTTTAAAAAGATGTAGAGAAGAGCAGGTGGTGACTGTTGTCATGGAAATTTTGTATTGTTGGTCGAACTTTAAATGTGTCATATATTCGTGTTATTCATATGTCTCTCGTGTAGCTTAATTAAAGCTCTGAAGGCTGCAATTGGGCCATGCGCATGTACAATGTATGTATTACAGTACTCAGCTTGGTAGTGGATGAGATGGCAGATCTGCGCTTATAGACCGGCGTGTATACCACCACGGCATTCCATGCGAATGCTGCTGTCAGTAGACCGTGGGCCTGTATCCACATATCAGCAGCATAGTACCACATGGACTTCATAACGCAATGCGCAAGCGGTGTGAACTCCACGTGTAGGCTTATGCATATCTTACAACCCATTACCAATCTGAACTGTATCCGGATGGATGTGTTTTAATAAAGATCGTACCGGGCCCATCCAGGTACAGACTGATATTTTTAGGGAGTGCTTGTGCAGAGAATGGACATACCAATAGAAGCTAGTAGGACAGGAAATATGACCTCAGATGGCTCATGGGGGGGAGGGGAGGAAGTCTGCTGACCTCAGAAGACTCATGGGGGAGGACCAGTGATAGATAATAGGAAAGGCTATGCTCCAATTGGAATGTACATCCTGTGTATAGGCACTACCCATTGCATTGTTCGGTGGGAGGGGATTGACTTTATTCATGTGGGGGGCATGTGTGTATTTGTAATAAAACCAAAGGCTGAGTCTGAAGCCGGCCCTTATGTGAGTTGCAACACCATCCTGAGAGTGTCGTTTGATCATTCTAGGGTAACGGAGCTCCAATCACCCACATCTCAACAGAGCCAAAGTATTTGGATGGGCAGGAATCGTGTAGTTTGGCTGCAGTCGTGGTAAGCGAGATTCACACAGCTTTATGGGGGATTTCTGCGCATCCAACTGCGAGTACTCACGGTAAGGAGAAATTCGTTAAAGCGAATTTCCAAGACAGTTTGGCGAGCCTGGTGGATACTAACGCGTATTCTTGCATAGCTAACCAAGAACGGGGGGGGGGGGGGGGGGGGGGGGGGGGGGGGGGGGGGGGGGGGGGGGGGTATAGCCATCATGAACTAGCAAAAAGTATGCCGGCACATTTCAGGTCTCTCTGCCATTAAGAGGATCGCTTTTTGCGCGTTCGTGTGGCTGATTTCGCTCTCTGTTAGCTAACAAGAATTACCGCTTGGCAAGGACCTAGTTTTTTGTCCTAAACTCTTGATTTGTGGGTGAAAGACAAGGTTTGTCTCTGCGGAGAGCAGCAGAGGGGGGGGTTTGGTTGGCTGGATTTGGTCAAGTTTAAAAATCTTCCAACCAAAAATTAAACGGGTATATGTTTTAGCGGGTAAAAGTTGTTGCATAGTGTAGGTAAGTATTTGCGGGTTGTAGGTACTGTGGTGATTGCTTTACCCCCTCCACGTGAGGTAATTATTACAGTGCTGAAAGGTTTAGGTTAATTGTTAACTGTTGTAAGATCTCTGTGTGTATGTAGTCTGTGCAATGTTTTGTGGTACTACTGCTCCCAGCAAGCATGCAGCAGGGGGTCCTTTCTGTTACATGTGCATGTTAGTGTGATATGTTGGTGTTTTATGTCCGTTCTGTGATTGTGCCCAAATTGTGTTGTATGTGTACTTCATATTGTTGTGTAATTGTCCAGTGTATGTTCTGTCTAAAAGTCTGTTTTATGTAAGAGGTTAGAGGCAATTTTGAGGCTAGAGTCTGCCATGTGCTCCTCTGTGGGGGGCCATTCTAGTGTTACCATGTGCTTCCCTGTGGGGGGTCATTCTAGTGTTACCATGTGCTTCCCTGTGGGGGGTAATTCTAGTATCTGCCATGTGCTCCTCTGTGGGGGGTCATCTTCTTGACTAACCACATGGACTCCTTTTGTTTGGTGGCCATTTTGTTAGCTACCATGTGCTTTCCCTGTTGGTGGCCATTTTGTTGACTACCATATGTGCAGTAATCTCTATGCAATGTGCATGAAGTTTTCTATATGCATTTGACCCATATTGTGTTTTTAATCCAAATTTTTTACAGTTTCATTTGTTTGCTTTTAGCTTTAAATTTGCGTATTGCCAGCCAATTTAAAGTGTGTTAAGCGAGTTTTCCCTTCACGTGTTCCACATTTAATGAGCGCGGTGTAGTCTGGGTTTTTGCACATAGATTTCTTGTATAGTGATTATGTTTTTCTTGTGTTTTTCCTGTTAAAAGTAGTTCCTTATTGTAAAGGGGGTTTGTTTTAAGCTGCTGTGTCACGTGTTTCACGTCCAGCAGACTTTTTGTGTAAACGGTTCTAGGTGGTTGCAGCGAAGATTGCGTGTGTAGCGCAGATCGTTTAGCGGTGCTGGTATGAGTGATTTTTGCGTCAGCAACAAGGTTACTTTTGGCGCAGTTTTTCGGTTTACCTCTGTGTAATTGTTTTACTGTGAAACGTCCCGTGTTTTTCATAAGGATCCACTTTGTCCTTTTTAACAGTTTTTCAGGTTGAAAAAGGGTTTTTCTGTGTGTATTAGGAAAGTTTTTTTCTTTACACAAATTTCCTAAAGGTCAGTTAGCAGGTTTCTGGCCAACCAGTGACCCCTAAGTAACATCCAAGAACCCCTCTTTTGTTTTGACTTGTGTTAGCTACTGTGTGCAGGGAGAGAAAAGCCACTTTCATCATTGTGCGGTGTGGCCTGCCAAACACAGTGGGTGATGAGAACCACATAAATTACGCTGTGTGAGTGGGCGGTCCAGGGAAGTCCTGGTTACCACAAACACTTCGGGTGGTCAGGATCACACAAATTGCGCTGTGGGAGTGGGAGGTGTGCTCTCAGTCTGACCGCCACTTGATGCTCTTCGGGTGATCGATAAGTATCACATAAATTACGCTGTGCTGGGAAAGTGGTGGAATCAGGCCTCTCGGTAGGATCCCACCGAGTGCTCCAGGGGGTAAACAGGTACCCGGACGCGGGATATATACCAGTGACTAGTCACGATGGGCAGTAGTCAGTCCATGAAGAGAGAGGGGGAACCAGCCCTCTTCAGGGTAAGGACAGCTGCACAACTGATGAAGGTGAGTTTGGGGGGGGAAGTCTACAGAACCCCTCAAAAGGTGGAATAAATGGTCGAAGGGTACCAGATGGGAAATTCCCCGGGAAGGTACATTTGACGCATGGAGGTGGGAAAAATTCATCTCTGAATTTGAACCACGGATGCAGGCGTCAGAACTAGAGATCGCACAGCTATGGCTTCACAGGTCAATCCAATTAGGGAAGCAGGGCATACATAAACTGGTGTCTGTCCGGAAGAACCAGGTGATGTATACCTGGCCTCCAGAGGGAATAAAACAGGAGGATCCAGTGTCAGAGGTGGAGGAAGCTCTTTCAGGGCTGACTCTACTAAGGCAGGCAGGATCAGGGTCTGCTGGGGTTCCCCAACAACCAACAGTGGCTGAGATAAGTATAACTGCACCTGTCTCTTCTGTTAGTGACGTCACTCTTGATGTACCTTCCGTGTCTTCTGTCTCTATGCCTCAGCCTCTACCTCTACCTCTCCCTTCTCCCTGCTTCACCCCAGCTCCTTCTGTTTCCAACTATGAAGCCTACTCAACAACCGATTTGCAGACTATCTGTGAATCAAGGGGAATAGACACCCGGTTAAGAAACAGGCGGATTGCATCAAAGCGCTACGAACCACTGATCAGACCCCCTGCCCACCAGCTATACCCTGATCTGAGGGACCTCAAACCTGAAGGTGCAGTAAGCGAGGTGGTTAATCTAAGCCCACCGATGAAGCTGGGCCAGCCCTTGCACTCTTCCCGGACGAGGCCTATCCAGTCAGAGTGCAGCAATTTGAAGGTCCTCCCAATGCACAGGGGGAACGGACTTTAGGGGAACGGGTAGTTTGGCATGTCCCCTTCACCCCGGCAGAGATCCGCACTATTCTGGCTGAGCTCCCGGACTATCGAGTCAATCCGAGAGGATTTGCTCGAATGTTTGGACAAAACCAGTTCAGCTATGGTATGAGCGGGTCAGATTGTGCACAGATCCTACGGGCAAAGGTGGGCATGGAAGTGGCCAGTACAGTGATTGCAGGGTGCTCTATAACCACGCATGAGGAGATGACTTCAGGGGGCAAAGAGTTCTGTACACAGCTAAAGGCAAAGCTTCCAGAAATGTATGGTGCTACCTCTACTACGGACATGATGAAGCTCACCCAGGGTCCTAATGAGGAAAGCGCCTGCTTCTGGCGCCGTCTCAAGCAGACGGCACTGGATGCGGATCTGGAAGTTGGACCTGATGCTCCAACTGAAG